CTCCATGACCACATGCCTGCTCGCAGGGATTGTCAACAATGTGTCAGAGCACAGGCTCGGGCACGTCCACATCGGCGAGTTCAACATCCGGAAGCGTTCACCCTTTCAGTGGACCTGAGTGGCAAGTTCACGCCGGGCATCAACCAGGAGCAGAAGCAGTGCAAATACCTGCTTGTGGGTGTTTACACCTTTCCAATCACCAGGGATGGGGTGCCACTTGCCTCTCCGGATGGTGTTGAACCTCAGGATCAACCACTTCCTGGTTTGGATGAGCTCGAAGCGGAAGATGGAGCTGAAGAAGGGCAAGATCCACTGCAAGAGCAAGAGGATGACAATGTGGAAGTAGAGGGTCAAAGTGAAGATGAGGACCGAAAGGCCGAGAAAACGGCACATGGCTGCTTGCTGGCCTGGCAGAAGCTTGTGGAGGAGTCCATGAACGTGACTGTGAAAAACATCACCTTTGTTGAGACTATTGAAAGTCGCAACTCCCAGCATGTCCTGCCGGCCATTGCCAAGATCTACAGCCGGTTGCGACAGCTTGGTCTTCCAGTGATGCGGTTGCATTCTGACAGGGCCAGAGAATTCCTTGCAGCTCCTTTGCGACGATGGGCGCAAAACAGAGATATTGTCCTCACAAAAACAGCAGGAGATGACTACAAAGCCAACGGGCGCTGTGAAGCAGAACTTGGCGTAACCAAGCGAGCAATTCGCACTGTGATCTCTGCTGGCAGGTTCAACATCAACCTATGGCCGTTAGTGGCACGGCATGTTGGAGAACGTCGCCTACGAGCTCAACTGCGTGGCTGTGGCTACCCTGTCGGGGACTTGCTGAAGTTTGGAACTCAGGCATATGCTCTTCGGAAGTGGTGGCAAGACAACCACGAAGAGTGGGCCGACACCAGACAGCCAGTCTTGGTGCTGGGACCAAATGCCTGTAGCACATTGACATCAACAAACTACTTCGTGCAGTCCATTGATACAGGCAAGTACTTCTTCACGGCCGATGTCATCACCCCTGACTTTGCGGCGACGGAGGCAGCAGTCCTTGGACAAGATGCTGAAGAACAAGCTCAGGAAGGAGCTGCTCCGCGACCAATCAGGGCTGACAACGCCATCTACCTGCCTGAACGAGATGAGGCTTCTCGCCCTGCTGGCATGGATCTTCAACCAGTAAGACGATTGCGAGGCAAAACAAAGCCTGCTATGTTGCATCGATTGATGCGGGCACCAATCGAGGGGGAGGATGACCCTTTTGAACATCTCGGCCGAGTCAATGCGCCATCGTGGGAGAGAGACAGCGATGACAGCTGGTCTCTGGAGACAGTGCCATCACCAGACTCATCTCTTGACGGATCTGGAGGTGGGGAGGAAGAGGAGGCGCCAAATAATCAGTGCGGTGGATCACGCCTGACGGCCTCACAGGAATATGAAAGCTTCCTACAAAAGGTGCAACACAACTTGCACATGTTGGTGATGGATGAGATGGTCCACATCGATGGCACGGCTGATGAACAGGCGTGGTGCATGCCAGTCTTGAAGGAGATGCTGGTGCAAAAGGCGGAGGTTGAAGAAGAGCTGATCATGATCAACAGAGGAAAAAAGGAAGCTCTGGAAAATGAAAATGAATTCTTGGTGACAAGAACGATATCCAACAAAGAGGTTTGGGAAGACATCCATAACTGGGAGCCCTCAGTGAGAGCTGAATACGAGCAGTTGGTGAACCAAAAGCAGGCTGTGAAACAGATGAAGAAATCTCAGCTCCGACAACTTGCTCAAGAAAGACAGCTCCCCATTGAATTGCTCCCGGCCAAAATGGTCCACACCCGCAAAGCCAACACAGGTGCATACAGATCTCGTGCCGTTGTATGCGGAAACTATCAAGATGTTGGCACTGAAGATCGATATGCAGGCGGTGCTGACGGTTGCCAAGTCAGGGCTTTGATCAGAACCGCGGCATTGCGAGGATGGTGTCTTGCTGGCAGTGACATCAGAGTAGCGTTTTTGAACGCTCCAAAACGCGACACCACAAAGATCACTGCCATGGAGGTCCCAACCATTTTCAAGCACCTTGGATTGGCCGATGCGGAGGACGTATGGGTCATTGAAAAAGCCCTTTATGGGCTGGTGTCCTCGCCAAGAGACTGGGGCATCCATCGAGACGAGGTGTTGCCCACGTTGCGCTGGCATCGGGACATTGGAGGTGTAGTTTTTGAAGGACGCTTTGTCCACTCCAAAGATGAAAACCTGTGGCGCTTGGTGGAGGTCAATCAGGAGACTGGTGCTGAAAATTGGGCAGGTTTGATGTCAGTTTACGTTGACGACATCTTGGTGGCTGGCGAACCAAAGACGGTGAAGCTGGCTATGGAGGCAATCCAGAGCAAGTGGACGCTATCGGAGGTGGAATGGGCAGCAGATAAACCTCTGCGCTACTGTGGCTTTGAAGTCAGCATGGGCGCGGCTGGAGATGGTTTCTACGTGTCCCAAAGCATGTATGAACAAGAACTTCTGACAAGATGGGGCATTGAAGAATCTCTACAATACCCTGCTTTCAAGGTCACGGAGGATGAGGAGCACTTCACGGGGGAGATTGACCCAAATGATGTGCGCACTGCCCAGATGCTCACTGGAGCACTTCTATGGCTGTCGACGAGGGAGGCCAGACTTGGTTTTTGGAGTCTCGGCCATGAGCAGGCTGACAACAAAGAACCCCAAGAAGGCGGTGGAGATTGGGTATGTCCTGCTCAAGTATCTTCATGGAAATCCTGGTGGAATGCACTATCCACAAACGATTCCTGGAGGTGATTGGGGCCGCCGAGACCAGCTGAAGGCCAGACGGCATCAAAAGATGTTGGAGGTTTTTTCTGACATCTCATACGCTGCGGGCGCTGACCACAAGAGCATCCAAGGCTTGGTGGTGTACTACGCGGGGGTTCCCATAGCATGGCAGTGTGGAGTTCAACCATTTGTGGCGCACTCAACTGCAGAAGCGGAGCTCATTGCATACTGCGAGTCTTTGGTGGTGGGAAGAGCGACAGAAGCCCTTTTAGCTTCGATCTGGCAACAGTGGGACTTTGAGAAGGTCATCTATGGAGACAATGCTGCAGCCATCAACTTGGCCCACGGCGTCACTACAGCATCGTGGCGGACACGTCACCTCAGAATCCGCGCCAGTGTGCTGAAAGAGGCCTTGGATGAGTCAAAGGGCAGAATTGGTGGAGGATGGAAACTTCTGCACCTCAAGGGCACAGAGCTGGTTGCGGACGGTTGCACAAAACCTCTTCAAGGTCAAGCCTTTACGCAGTTTGTGGATGACCTTGGTTTGAGAAGAACAAGAAGGGAGCATCGACCTGCTCGCGAAGAAAGACCGGCTGCTGGTGGTGAACACCATGGGGCTGCCATGCGGGCGATGATGGTGGGCAGTGTGCTGCTTTCTACAGTGGAAGCTTATGCAGAAGAACCGGAACCTGAAGGAGACTTCACCTGGATCTGGGTGACTGGAGCCTTTCTTGTGGCCATGGGAGCAATCTACACTGGACAGCTGCTTCACAAGGCGGCGAAATGTTGTCTGCGACGATTGCAAGCGTCAGAAGGAGGCAAAGGTCTTAGACTGGAACAAAGGTGGAAAGATGCTAAGGGTTCTGATGAAGAAGAACTGGAGGATGATGCATCGGCGTCTTTGAGGCGACGAACCCATGTGGAATCTGGAAGCTGTGGACCGATGAGAACTATGAAAAGCGAGGCTGGATCTATGAGGGGCCGCGGTGGCTCAACTTCATCCATGACTTCACGGCCACAGTTGGGCTCGCATGGTGTTGATGTCGAAGCTACATCAACTCAAACCAGGCGACGGTCGGGCTCAGCCGGCGCTACATCGTTAGAGACCAGGCCACGTTCGGGCTTGCAGGGTGGCGAAAGCACTATTTCCTTGAGTACGACATCACCGTCGGGCTCAGGCAGCGCGGCTGAAGCTACCTCCTTGAATATGACATCACATTCGGGCTCTACGAGCATTGATGAGAGCGCACCTATGAGCTTGAATTTGACATCACGGTCGGGCTTAGCACATGGCGATGGCTCTACATCCTTGAAAAGGAGGACACGAGCGGGCCCTGAACTGGAGGCGTCAGCGGGAAATCCTGCTGATGTAGCTGATTTTGTAGCTGCATCTGAGATCAGAGGGGATCTCGTCGGAAGTAGCGTAGGCGAAATTAGCAGAGGTTCTGAGGGGCACGATATCCAAAACCCTTGGAATAAGTTCCAACATAAATATAAGGGTTGGGGATTGACATCGGCGGCACTTGCAAAGATGTACAAAGGCCGCATGTCCAATGATCCCCTGTAGAAATGCCTTGAGCCTCCGTGCACATTTTGTGCAAAATTTTCCCGACGATTCACTGACGTGAATGGGGGAGCCTGTTTAGGAAGGCATGGATCACTTCTTACTTGGAGGCATTTTTGGTACAAAAGTAGGGTTGTGCGCCCTGGGTTTTTGAGTACATATATTATATGTACATATATTATATGTATATATATATATGTATATATATATATATGTATATATATATATGTATATATATACATATATATATATGTATATATATACGTGTATATATATACATATATATATATATACACGTATATATATATACGTATATATATACATATATATATATACGTATATATATATATACGTATATATATATATACATATATATATATACATATATATATATACATATATATATATATACATATATACATATGTAAATATACATATACATATATATATATATACATGTATATATATACATATATACATATATATATATATACATATACATATATATATACATATATATATATATATACATATATATATATACATATATATATAGGTAAATCCACGATTAAATCATAGTCTAAACCCCTATATATCTATATGTCATAGTTCATCTGCGAGTTTGATCATGTTTGATCTGTAAATCCCAATATTCCGATGGTTAAATCATGTCGAATCCACATGGTGCCCATGTTTGAAATCCTGAAATCCTCCGCACCTGCAGCAGCCTGCGCTGCCTCTCACGGCTGATGACTTCCAGGCGCGCTTGCGCACGAGCCTGGTCAGATTGGATTGAAAATAGGTGACCCATGGTGACCCATGGTGACCCATGGTGACCCCCTAGATTTGATGGCTTACACATGTAAAAACAAAACGTCATGTTCCCTAAAAAACTGCATGTTGTTGCTTCTTTGGCCTTTCTTGGACACACCCAAAATCGAAGTTTATGCAATTTTGAAACACTAAATGACTGAGACTGGTTAAACCTATCGTCTTCCATTCCAAACAATTCGAGGATAGACTTGGATAGACGGTAGAATCATGTTGGTTGCATTTTAGATTTCAGGGAACAAAGCACCCGTTGAATCTTCCCTGTGGGGTCCTATTTTCTCCAATTCCCTTTTTGTGATCCTGCGGCAAGCATAAATCACAAGATAACATCCACTGACGTTTCTTTATGCTTTTGGTCATAAGCTGATGGCATCGAATGCTTGGCCCCATGAACTATAGATTGCCAGGGTGTGCCAAATCTGTCCTGGGTGAAATTTACTAGGCACCCCACGCTTCCAAACGGCCCTCCCCCAAGCCCAAACAAAAATCGCTGGACCTTGCGCATGCGTTGGTGGTGCTCAATCTTCAGCTTCTCCTTCCTCAGGTGTTGCTTTGGAAGATCCAACAACTTTTTCCGGCGATGAGAACCTAGTTACTTTCTCAACAGCCACTCGCGCCCAATCAAGTGCCTGTGCTAAGCCTTCAGTAGATGGCACCATCTCAGCTGACGACTCTTCTGCTGCTTTCCATTTGAAGCGGATCTCGTCGAAGGCACACCTGAGAACATGCCAATGTGTTGTCCAAGCAGTGGGGACAGCCACAAGAAGCCTGGATACACAAGCTCCACGCATGACATGGATGGACAGATGGATCGGTGGATGGAAATTCATCAGACTGATGTATCATGATGTATCCCTTTATCGAAGCTGAGTCACTGAAGCCACGAGCACAAGCTCCCGCGTTGCACAATCTGTCGACGCGTTGGAAGTGGATTGTCTCTTTCATCTGGGGTTCTTCAGCTCTGGAATCAAAGTTACAAGTAGGATCAAGTAGGTATTATCATATATATATATATATACATATAATGTAGGAAACCAAATGACCAAATGTCACAACCTTACCATTTCGGGATAGTTTATAGACCCCTTTTATGGTGATTTTGGGGATGGTCTACTATTGGGTTTACATGGGTTTACTGAAGTGGAATCTGGAAGTGTTGCGCAGCTTCTCAGCTCCGTCAGCGCCTCTTCTCTCATTTTCACAAGCTTTAAGCAATAATCCTGGTGCAGGCGGCTTGAGCCACAAGGAAGTCCCTCAGGGTCCCGGAGGTCTTCCAGTCTTCCGGATTCGGAACCATTCTGACAGCATGAGGTTCTGATCTCCCCCTTGGAGACCATGCTATGAACGACATGGTGATCTATGGTGATCTGCAACCTTCTTCGTGCCATTTGGACTCCTTGGAGGCCAAAAAAACCTCTGGCATCATGTGACTGCCTGACCCCCCCTTCCGGTGCCTGGGCTAAGGAATCCCACTTGCGGTCCCGAAGAGCCACAGCCTCGTTCAACTCTGCCACCTGGAGAAGTGTTGAGATGGGAAACAGATGTGGTAAGCCCATTCCAATAAACCTGCCATTTGGGGATGATATTTGCGACCAATTTATGGGAATCTGGGGATGCTTCAATATTGACTTTGCCACATCAATCAGGCAGAAAATGTATATGATCTGTACAGTGTATGTTCTTAGACAGGTGGAGAACGCGATTCACGTTCACCACACAACCATCATCGCCCGCAAATCATGGAAAACGAAGGGACAACTCCGTAATGCAAAGAAACGACCCAAAGATCCACCACTGATCCAACCACCTTAGCTTGTTCCTCCTCTATTTGCCTTTGTTTGTTCTTGATCTCTTTGTCCTGCCATCGTTGCAGGACACAATTGGAAAGTTGCAGCCAGAAATCAAGACCACTCCGCTTCGGTCCTGCTGCCGCACTTTACCATAGAGCGCTTCCAACTCTTCAACTAATCCTTTACCTGTCAGCAAGCGGATGGTTGTTCGTTCTATCCCAACGCTGTTCGATGAGTTTTAATACTCCACCCTCGCTGGCCCTGCTTGGTCTGTCCTAATTTAGGGGATAGACCGTCAATTAAAACCTGGCATGAACGGGCATGAACACAAATATACATACATGTATAATGCTCATTGGTGTTCTATTGGTATATCCCAAACATAATGGTATATCCCATACCATGTTCATATTCTGTTCTGTTCTGTTCTGTTGGTGCCAAACACTGTCTGTTTTTTTTCGGCACGCAAGTACAGAAAGAATGAACCAAGGTTCAGGATCAAAGATCAATAAATCAGTCAGAACCCTCCGACACAATCTCTGTGTATATATAATATATTAACCAATAAATAAATGATATTAAGTAATCAATAAATATAGTCAGTACTAAATATACTGTAACTACAAATTATATATAATTATAAGTGTATATGTACAGTATAGGATACAGGTACAGTATTCACCATGCATGCCCGGTCTGCTCAGATCAGCCTTCCGTGCCGCTTTGAGCTCGCCATGCTTTAAGCCGTGCGAAGTCTTCGGCCATCTTTTGCCTGGCTCCAAGTGGTAAATTACTATGCACTACCCTAATGGTGTATTCATTAACACCAAAAAAGGCTTTTAATATCTTTTAATAGTGTAAAGTAAAACTCACCAAAAGTTAGTGGTAAATTAAGCTATCTTTTTGGTGGTTACTTGTGTATGTATGTATAATATATGTATATCAATCATGTGTGTGTGTGCATGTCTGAAAATATGGGATACAGGTATACAATCATCCATTTTTGGGGTACCCTATTTTCAGACACAGCCAGGCATCTGAATGTCTGTATAGGATGTATACATATATATATATATGTTGATGTATCCATTATCTAGAGATACATGTATGAAGCATTTGGGTTTCATTCTGAAACTGGGGTACTCCATTCCATCCATCTATCTGATCATCATTTTCCCATGAACAAATTGGCAATGAATTGGAGGCTATACCCCATTTTCAGACACGGTCATGGCGGGGGTTCACCAACCAAAAACATCAAAGCAACATGTCTGCAGCACTCCAATTCATTTCTCCTTCTCTGCACCTCATCGGTGTAGCCCTGGCAGATTTTGCAGATCTCGGAGAAGGAATTGGTCTGGTGGGAAAATTCCGTTGTAGCTCAACTTCCCAAAACAAAAAGATGTACAAGCAGTGATTCGCCCCTACAAAACAATGTTAGTGGTGTTTAAACCGGTTTTGAGCATCGAAAATTGGGGGACCCGGGGACCCTAAAAAAACCACGGCCACATCGATTTGGATCAAAATTGGGTCCAAAAGTGGATGCTTTACCACACTCAAACTCACGTCTCCGGTCTCCTGCGTCAATGTTGGCAAACATATGGGGGGGTCCTAAAATAGGGGTACCCCCAAATCATCCATTTTAGTAGGATTTTCTATTATAAACCATCCATTTTGGGGTACCCCCATTTATGGAAATCCCCATATGCCAAAATGGCCTCCACTTGCCATGCTCTCCAGAGCCCGTCCCTCAAAGACTGCCCCTTTTTCCGCCGCATCAGTTTCGTCGAGGGAAAGCTCCTGGCACCCAGCTGGGTGTCCATTGGGCTTTGGATATCGGATGCTGCTCCAAAAATCAGAGAAGTTGATGTGTCTACTGTGTGTATATAAACTGTATATGTGTATTGGATTGTATTATATTGTATTGTAATACACATATATATTATGTGTATAATATATTGTACTGTACAAAAAATATAAGACAATATAGTATAGTATCATATAATATAATAAAATACAATATAATATAATATAATATAATATAATTATATAATATAATACAACATCATATAATGTAATATAATATCATACAATGTAATATAATATAGCATAATATAGTTTAATATAATACAATAAAATATAATATAACATAGTACAATATAATATAAATATAGATATAATATAGTATAATATATAGTGTGATATAATATAAATTAAATACAATATAGTATAATATAATATAATGTAATATAATATAATATGATATAATTAATATAATTAATATAATATAATGTTATATAATATAATATGATATGATATAATAAAACATAATATAACATAATATAATATAATATGATATAACATAATATAATATAATATTATATAATATGATATAATTAATATAATTAATATAATATAATGTTATATAATATAATATAATATAATGTTATGTAATATAATATAATATAAAAATATAATGTAATGTAATATAGTATAATATAGTATAATGATGTATAATCTTATATAATATAATACAATATAATATAATAGAATAGAATATAATATAATGCAATGTAATCTCCGATCAATCGCAATGCAAGGTTTTATAATTGCGGATGTTGAAATATACATGCCCTTTCATAATTCTTAGACTTGCATTTACAATCGGCTCCCATTTATACATGTTCATCGGGGAAGCAGTGGTTTGCAATGATCCAGCAGGTCAAAGAATCGGTTTTGTGTTGTTTTCACCTTCGTCCAGCCCGTGAGAAAAGCGTCAACAAAAACATCTGATGTCACTTGGGTTAGGTTTTCCAGCAAACCTTTTCAATCCCACCTGGTTCTTCAGCTGGAGTCAAGTGTCATTTGGCTATTTCTATGGAATGTTGTGGAAAACATCTGGGCTAACCCAAAGCACGCTGGATTGATAAATTCGTTGATCCAGTACCAGACACACATATTAAGAAATGGCCAAGATCATCTAAAATCATCCAAAATCTGCAGTTCCCATGGCTTGAAAAAGCCAATTCCCCCCAAAAAGAACTTCCTAACCCCTGTCCTCCACGATGATCGCTGTATCCTGCCAGGCCGCTTCCTCCTCTGCGTCGCTGTCCGAAAACTCTGCGCCCTGGTGGAAGCGAGCCACCTTCCGGCAGTGCTCCAAGAAATCCTCCAGGTCCCATTTGTACTTCATGATGTTGCAATCCCCACATGCAGCTACCTATGGGCGACCCGTTTGGATACCCGGATACCCCTTGGGGTCATTGAAAATTTTACTGGCGGCTTCCCATGATGGATTTGCTGATCATTAACCATCCCCAATCAACCAGGTAGGGGATAAAGAACCCTGGATAAAGCCGATAAAAGCTCACCGAGAAAAGCAATCCCTCCCAGAATAATGACTAAAATCATCTAAAATCAGCATGTCTATTCATAAATACATAATTCATAAATCATCATAAATCACCAAAAACCCATCACGAAGCATCAATTCCTTTTCTCCCAGTCACCCCTCACTGGGTCACCGGTCACTTGCGCCGCAGCGCACCGCACGTTTGCCCAGGTGCCGAGGTCTCTGCTGTGTAGACGCGGTTCTTGGAATCCAAGCGATCTAAGCCATTGAAGTGACCGCGGTCGCTGGGGCCATTGGTCTTGGCCTTGCGCGGCTCCTGTGGCCAAAATCGACTTTTTTGAGGTCGTTCTTTTGTGCAGCAAGCAAAGCTTTCCAAAGTTTATTCATCTTCATGTTGAAATATGGTAATTCATATTTGACTAAGATTGATTCAGTGTTAATATCGAATTTATAACCTTGGTTTTGTATGTAGACTTACTGGAACTCAGTAGGTCTGGGCCATTTCTGGTTGTGATAGTCATCTTCACCGAGCCAAAGTTTCATCGCATGTGGGTCGTATGGATGGGGGTGCTAAGGAATTGTGTGGATTCCATGAGCTATTCCAAGATATTTCAAACAATTGTCAAAATATGTCAACATGATTCAAAAAAGACCAGAATGATCCAGAATGCCTTGTTCCCTAACTTTCCCTAACTTTCCCTAACTTTCCCTAACTTTCCCTAAGGACTGATTTCTGGACGTATCTCTCCATCAGGACCTGCATGATTCAAGATCTCGGGGGTTCTCCTTATGACAGTAGAAGCACCTCTGTGCCACGATCGCATTGAACTGCTCATTGGTCAGGGAATGAGTTTTCCTGGCTTCCAAGGATTCAGACCCTCAAGTGCCAAATTTCCCCCAATAACGTGCTGATTCATGCTTTATCTCTTCCCCCTGGCAGGCTGTAGACACTATTCAATCACAGCATCCCAAGCTTTGCCAGCTTGACTGTGATCACCACTATGATGAGGCAGTAACGAGTGCTTGAAATGCTCCGAAAACAAATGTTTGGTACACACACCAGCTGACTTCTGCACTTGCCTGATGCAGATCGCAATGAATGAGTACTAGTTAATAGTTGCCTTTTATTTGCTAAGTATACATCTATAGATATCTATAGGTACTATACATGTTACCATTCATACTCCCAATAAACTTATCCAGGACTCGAATGCGTGCTGGATTGCGTGATGTAGCAAGATCGAGACCGCTTGGAGACATTGTCCCGAAAACGCTGAGGATATTCCCCAAAGTCTTCACCTGGCGGTGATCATTGTCAACGCCATGATGTCCTTCACGAACTGCCCTGACTTTTAAGATAATCCGTTTGGCCAAACTTGATAATGATGTATGATGTATGATGTTATGTTATATGACTACACAGGAGCAGAGCTTCAATGATTTTCATGATATTCTTCCATGAAGGATGTCTCATTTAATGGTCAAATCACCATTTCTAATGGTTAAATCAGCATCCAGTCATCTAGTGAGTTCGGCCCCTCGGTTGTGCACCTTCCGTGTGTTTGGTGGCGATGTGACGACAGCACTCCACAAAAGCACGAAGTTTTCGGTAGCCTCCAGCGATGCAAAGGGATGCCATCTGACAACTATCCAGAAGGGAACTCAGAGCTCAAAAGCTGTGATAGGACAACTGGTTTGCGATCCCCCAGCAAAACTGTCAGAAGTCCACTGCAACTGCAAAACCAGCCTTTCATCATGTTGCACATGCTGCAAGCTGGTGCCAAGTTTTCCTGGATAAATGGACCAAGAAATGCCTTTTTTTCCGTTGTTCATCGGTACAAATCATTTCAAATGCTAATAACATTGTTTAAGCTAGTGGCATTAAAATGTATCCAGCAATCCGTAGTTATGTAATGGAGACTTGTTTTACCATTATCCATTGAACCTATCAGCAAAATCATCGAGCATCAGTTAAGGTCTTAAACCATCTTAAACCTCTTTTCTTGCTTGGTTGAAGCCCCACTTTTGATCTTTTGGTTATTTTAAATCTCATGTTTCTACCATCTAAGATGGTCAGTCAATGTTAGTTTCACCATCACCCCCTTGCCGCCCTTGGCATCCCGTCCTCCGAATAGGGTCCCATGAAGCCTGTGCGTGTCTTGGGACGTTCAAGGCCACACCAGCGCCGCAAGCGGGTGAGCCCATGACCCCTTAAGGGAGCCACCTGGCCGCAGCCGACACAGGGGCCTCGGTGCTAGCTGGAAGCCGTGTAGAAATCAATCTTTTGGGATTTGACCAATCCATTTGGGGATTTCACATTATTGTTTAGAACATTTTAGAACCAATTTTGGGGATTCAACCAAGCAAAAGTAGGGCCAGTAGGGATTCAACCTGCACTCAATGGATCTAAAAGGTAATTTTGTACTGGCAATCAGTGAAACAATCAATCAATCAATCAATCAATCAATCAATCAAGTGTACCTTGAATTTGTCGATGCCTTGAAAAGTAAGACTAATCTTCCGAGTGGACCTAACTAATGTAATGAAAACATCAGAATGTCACCTTCAGCAAATCCAAGACTGGAAACCAAATGATTTGAGGATCGAAACTTTCTATAACCACTCTCCTTACAGGTTGTTTGGGGTGGTATCCGACAAGACATCAGTTGGCCCAAGAAAAGACCCCGCGACTCAGCCACCAATGCAGATGGAAGTGGCTTCGCATCATGGCGCAGGCACTTTTCTCGGAGATGGTAAAGGGAACATTCTGCCTTCCATGACAAGCTTTGTGGGTGTGGGTCTGAAAATGGAGGATGATTGCTCTGATATGCCCTGATGTATGACAATGTTCACAATGTTGTAGGGACAATGATCCTATGATCCTATTTTCAGGCAAACCCATTTGTGCATGGGTTTTTTTTCGGTCGGTGATCCAGTGAGTTCAAGATCCCGGCCATCAGAAACCGACCTACACTTCAAAAGCAACCAAGATGTATTGGCTAAGTAAGGCTCAAACCATCCCAAATTCTGCATAAGTCTACAACTCCCACCTGGGGATATATGGATATATGATAAGATCTATATACTCATAATACGACATAATGTGACATATGAATACACATTGATTACACACATGCAAATGTGCAGCTACACTAATCATGAGTGACTAATGTATATGGAGGTTTCCCACAATGAAAAGTACCCCAAAAAGTATTGAAACCATGGTGACTTGGGGATCACCCATGACTTCAGAAACCCCTCAATCCATGGCCTCTCAGCAGTTCGCCGGTAAGCCCTCAAGCGTTGGAGTTGTGGCAGTTCACCCACACCCCGCAGAGCATCCGCTGTCAGTTTCAGCTGTGGATTCCTAGGGGCTGTGGGCCGGTAAAAATGGGGGAAATGCTGGGTTCCATCAATGGGGATGATGGAAAATCATGGAAAATCCTAAGATGATTTGGGGGTATCCATATTTTAGGACCTATATTGAAATAGACAACTCATGAAAGTTGGATGGGGCACGTTGGTGTGAAACAAAGGATCCGCGTGTTGCAGAGCCCAACCAGAATCAGCCAACAAACGTGTCTGCACACTTCGCGCATGTCCAGAAAGGGACGGGCAATGCCTCAGAATGCCTACTCAGTTGGCCTGAAGGCACGCATTTGTCAATGTCTAAAGTTTCATCTCAACTATTAAGTTGCTCTTTCTTTCTAATGATAACTGACATAATTCAGATTGAATGATTGAGATAGACTTAGATGATATACCCATCGTTCGACCCACATTCTCCCCTCATCTAGCTGAATCAAAATCATTCGGAGATGATTCCCCCAATCCTAACCATTGTTACAGTGACGTCAGAGGTCATTACAATTAATCCAGAATCAGAAATTCGACCCACGCCATGGCTCTTCTTCCACAGAGGTCTTCTACAACGGGCACAGATGGACAAATCTGGTGGCTTGTCCTCCTCGGAGTCCAAGTCTATGACCTCGCGCGAGAAGCTTTGACTGGAGGGTGAACTATGAAAAATGGTGATTCAACCATCGAACATGACGGTTTCATCATGAAAAATGGTGGTTCACCATTAAAAACCGTGAATTATTGTGATTTGTGTGATTTAACCAACAAGTGTGATTGATCCACCCAAAAATCTGATTTAAGAGTCTAACATGGGAAGTGAAGCATCAACCGTTGGGTGATTTGACCAAGAAATGTCACATTTTGTGTGAGGATTTCAGGTTTCCTGTGACAAATTTCCTCAAACCAATCCGACGATAAATTGGCCAAACATGGGGACACAAGCAGCAAAAATGCTGAGTTCACCCATAAAGATATTGGACCTGAGTGGAGCAACAAAGATTGGGGAACGGAGTCAACAAAGGTGGAGACATAACCAAGAACAACGCCGGGCATGGCAACCCAAAATGCGGCTGGATTTTTTTTTTTTGCGTTTCAAATGCTCCAAACTTCAGGAGGTCAGTGATCAAACTCAGGATGTTCACCTTGGTATCCCCTGGTTTTGGTGCATTTTTGTTGCGACAGCCCATCTTGGGACAGATCCAGCCCTGGGCTCAGCATGCATGCAACAAAGGCACAGCGGCTTCATCTTCTGGTGCCTCGTCAAGACAATGACAGACACAAGACCCAAAATCTGCGATTCCCAGGACCTAAGACTTTGAACCACACCCATTTCAAAGTCAGAGATCTGCTTCCTTTCGCTCTCTGAAACATGAAGTTTAAAGCGTCCACATGAGCTTGTCCAAGCATAGGGTCCTATCAAATACTGCGTAATATTGGGGTATACTCCCATTTTCAGCCATGCTCAAATATCATATGAATGGTGACATCTATCATCTATCCCATTGATTCCAATGGAAAAAAAAAACTCATTAATTCATATTACAGTAATTCAAACATTCAACATCATTCAACTATGGTATCTCATCGTTCGCCCCACCTTCTTCAGAAATGCCACCATGCTCTTCTGAATGCTACTATCCTTTGCTCTTCTGCAGCTGAAGCAAAGGACTTCAACCACACCACCATCAACTTCCTCCGCAGCACTTGGGTGTGTCTTGGCCAATTTAACGATAACAAACAACTTAAATAACAATGATAAAGCATTGGATTTAGGGGTATGAGTACTCTGTTTTCAGTTAAACCCAAAGTGGCATGGGTCTCACATTTAGCAGCCCTAAGGATGGTCAATCCGCAAGAGCCAGCGGATTTCCATTCCCCTCGCATGGTTTTGTTTATGACACGTCAATGAACGAAGTTGCTCCGCTGATTTCTCGCGGGAGGTCTTGTCTTGCAGAGAAGAAGACTGCCAATGAATCAAGTCCTTGTGTATCATTCATGTGGATTTGTCAATACCGGTTCCAATAAGTACCAGGTCATGATGGTCCCACACAAACCAAAAAGTATAACCCCTTCAATAGCCAGTCAACAAAAGTTGTGGTGCTCATGTGCGCATGCACCCAGCTTGGGGTGTTTACAACCGCAACTATGGTGCTGTAAGTGTCTCCAAGATAAAGTTTCGTGTTTGAAAAGCAGCCGAGCGCACCAGTAAGGAAAATGGAGGCAATGAGCAGACTCCAAAACACTTCACACCTGTTCGCACTGGCATTGAAACTTCATGTCTCACACTCGCCCAAAATTGCCTTGGCTTGTCGATACTTCGGCTTTTTCTCACCTAACAGGCAATGAAAGAAGCACAAAGATGCACAAAGTGCTTCTCGATATTGCTACAACATGTTTAAACATGCTTACACCCATTTGTTTTGCATCTCTTTGTGGAAAGCAGGGTCTGAGGTCTCAGTCAGCACTGTGCTGGCTGGAGAAGGCCAATCAAGGAAAAACCTTTCATTTCAGGCAGGTTTACCAATATCATGGGAGGACAAAACATGCCACTACCACTGTGAGGCTACTAGATATGGCAGTGTGTCAAAACCTTGTACCCCTGTAGTTCACATCAAAATAGCTGGTAAATGGATGTTCATCCCCCTAAAAATGGTATTAATAGTGGATTTTCCCATTGAAATGGTGATTTTCCATAGTTATGTTAGTTTACCAGAGGGTATATCACTATGGAAATCCTATTAATAGGTATTGATCCATCCCCATATGACTATCAGCATCAGCGTAGCATCCCTTGGAACCTGGATCTTCAACGACGGCGTCTCCCTGACTTCTTCGACGACGGCGGCCCGCTCGGCTCGGCGTGCTTGGCTCCTGCCGATCAACGCGCGGCAGGTTTGAGTGTCTCAGGTGGGAAAAAATGTGTAAAATCCTCGGACCCTGCTGGCTACATCCCAAAGATATGCTGAAGAAACTTCTGAACAGGTTGTATATGGTTGTATTGGGACGCTCATGACTGCTCATCTACCCATCTTTTCGGGTGGAGAAACATGATTCAACCAATCCGCACAGGATGTTCATCCACACATTGGGGCCTTGGGGCCATGATGATTTTGGCAGGTCATAGCTATGTGGCTATGTGATCCAATGTGCATGTCCTATCCCCGGTTCTTGTTGCTCAAATCATCCCCTAAAAGGAGCTTGAATAACTTGAATACCCCATTCTCAGTGGCTCACCGTTGGCAAAGGTCCCAGTACCTGTAACTTTGGTGCCAGGCGCAATGGAAATGTACAGCAACTATCAACAATTCATCAATCTGAAATAATCCAATCTTACAGGATTTCCCGTGCAAAGCCCCACTTCTGATGTCCTCTTGAGTAGTGATTTTTGTTCGAAAGTCGTGTCCAATGATGTCCTTTTTGTGAATGAATAATAGTTACCCATTTATAGCGATATTGGGGCTGTTTTACTATTGGATGCTATTGGGTTTACCCACATTAATTGTTGAGTAGAATACAGGCCATCAAAGGCCAAAGGTCTTCCCAATCAACGGCTCCATGGACATGGTCCACTGACCTAGATGATTCAGTGTTCATTCAAAAACAGGCAAAAAAAACCCGTAGTCTGGTGTACTGATATTACACAGGTTAACCATCCGTGAATGGTAAAGTTTTCTAAATCTTCCAAGCGGCTGTCATCTTGGTCATCTCATCTAAGCACTCAGCGCTGTGCTTTCCATGACACGTGGTGCTTCGCCGGTCTTGTTTGCTTTGACAAGACCCCGACAGCAGGAAAACAACATGCGAACCACCCATTGACTGAAAATTGTTCCTCTCCAAGAAAGAGTACTAGCCTTCTTTTGACTTGTCGATCGGTGATACATGGCGATATCCAAACCAAGAAAGATCAAAGGGACTAGCAACAATTATTGCATCTTGTTCTGCGCTGCCTGACAGATTGATAACATCTGATAACAGTTATTCGAAAAAATGATTTTCAGAAACACATGAAACGAACATCTTCTCCGTTCTGCATGCTCCTGACTCAGCTTTGGGAAGATATTTGCCCACATCAAGTCTTCCTGGAACCCTGCCAGTTCCAGAGGGTTTGACCCAAACAAGCTGCAGGCGGTTGATGTTTCAGGTATTGACGTGTCATCCTCAGCCCACCTGAAAGCTACCTTTAAAGTACACCAAACAAACCCCACTCGTTCAAATCACCAGTGATTGTGTGTGTGTGTGTCAAAAAAACTGCAATTCATATCCCATACAAGTTCAAGTTCGACTATTCTTTGAAAACATATCATCTTTGGACCGAGCCCCATCTCGTGCCGTGCCTGATACATGTCCAGCTTCTCTTTGAGCTTATAAGCCGAGCTCCGATCCCCTTTGTTCGGTGGCAGCTGCGACCTGGGTGTCACCCGGGTGCCCGGCCGGGTGCCCGGGATGATCCGGATGGAACTGAGGTGTTCGTTTTCCCCACTGTGTCCCAAAAAAATCCCAGTCATTATACGTACTATATCAATCTATATCATCTATATCAATCTATATCAATCTATATCAATCTATATCATCTATATCAATCTATATCAATATATATCAATCTATATCAATCTATATCAATCTATATCTATCTATATCAGTCTATATCAGTCTATATCAATCTATATCAATCTATATCAATCTGTATCAATCTATATCAATCTATATCAATCTATATCAATCTATATCAATCTATATCAATCTATATCAATCTATATCTATCTATATCAATCTATATCAATCTATATCAATCTATATCAATCTATATCAATCTATATCAATCTATATCAATCTATATCAATCTATATCTATCTATATCTATCTATATCAATCTATATCAATCTATATCAATCTATATCAATCTATATCATATAAATATCATATAAATATCATTTTGATATAGGATGATATAGGTATCCAATATCATCCATCCCAAAAAAATGGGAAGAACCGAATCCCAAGGAACCCAAGGGGGAACCCCCCTCTCGCCCGGGACTTGGCTTTCAGGCTTGCTGATGATCTGCCCCACTTGGGAGAGGTGAAAACCCAGGGAGCTGATGGCCTCGAAAGGAACTCATGGTGGACTTCACTGGGGATGACATCCTCATTTATATCATTTATATGGATGATTTTCCCAGCTAGAAACCTCCATTAAAAAATATTAAAAAAGGGGATTGTTCAGCTAGCCACATTTGATTAGAGGGCAAATCATCTTGAAGCATTTTGAATGATCTTATAAGTCATCTTGAATCATGATTTTGAAGGCATTTTGAGAAGGTGAAACAGATTGTTGGAGCCGGGCAACTCTTAAATCGTATTTTTGCATAGGGTGAACCCGGTTTGAAGCATTTGAAGTGCAGAAACCTGGGATTTAAAATCGACATGGTGACTTCGGACACTTTCAAGGCACTTCGTTTGTCGCAGTGTCTGTTGAGGCTTGGTGATGGTTCACTAATTCCCTGGAATCATCTACTGAATCGTTCAGAAAGTTTAGGAGTCGGATCGTCAATCACACTGATAGATCCTAGACCATCACCACCAGACAAAGAAGTATGCCGCGATTATAGTGACACAAAGGTCTTCCATGGTTTCAGGGCTGCAGAGGCTTCACATTCTTGGGTTCAACAAACAACTGCTTCGTAGCCTGTGGGAACCTGTGGGACACCTTTTTACAGAACCATCATTAAAATCAGCACCTAATCTACATGATTCTAAGAAATCTATGACTATGGCCATATGGCCAGTTTTAAGGCCTTTTACCCGGGTTCCCCAGGTTTTTGCCATTCATTGTGAGGTTCTTTGAGTTCGCTCTAAATGATCCAATTTTCACATCCAAAATCCATCAAAAGTCATGAAAAACAAAACCCACGGATCAATCAGCCAAAGAAAGCCTTGTGACTCGTGACAAAAACATTCAAGATAAGGGGAAAAAAGTACCAATGATCAAACATCTTCGACAAACCACTCAGCTAATCCAACCCCAATCAGCTTCAACCATGGTAAACCCAATAGTAAACCATCCAATTTCTAGGGATGTACCCAACGCCATAAACCATCCATTGGAGGATGGTTATAGTTATCCCAGTAATCTGTCACTATATCCCATTGTGACATTGGCTTTAAGTGGCTTTACCACATTTATGATTGGGCTTGTAAACTCATTATATATATATATATATGACTATAGCAATGTTATATCCACACCCATTGTATAACTGTCTTATTGGCTTCACAATAAAACGGTCCGAAATCCAGCCACCCAACTGCCTCTGCACTGAGGTCCACCAGCTCCCGGCTCCCTTCGCTGACATCGTCATTTTTCATAGCACCCAACCTGCACAGCGGTGACTTCCAGGGGGGCCACCAGCAGGACAGAGTCACTCAGCCCGCACCTGACGCGAGCTCAAATAAGCCCCTGCCCCTCCCACGGCCCGTGAGCCAAACGTAGTGCTGCGGTTGTTAGTGTTCCAGCGGGTTGGTGATTTTATTTTCAACCAAAGCATCATGGGGGGTCGCAATGCCAAATTTAAAGATATGGAAAATGGTATTTGAAAACATGAAACGTCTCTCCTTTCTTGCAATATTCAATCCAAACATGACACCTATGAATTCACGGTGCAACGGCAGCAACACCTTTTCAACGCGTCGCTCGTGGGCCCGGCTGTCAGGCTACAGCTTGGAAACCTGCACAAGTGTCGACAAGGCTGGATGAAATCCTAAAGTCAGAAATTCTTTCAGCATCCCCACGTTGCTGCGAGAAGCAGTGAGGTTCTTCCCTTTCCGGCAATTGGTCGCATCGTGCCAGGACTGCTCAAGATTCATACCGGGATAGAGTTGATTGGTTGATTGTAAGCATCATCTGGCGTCTAATGACCATCCGAATATCAGTACCGCTCACCAGCACACTAATTACGAGTGGCTCAAAGCACCCTCGCCTTCCCAAACTTCTTGTGCTGCTCGCTTTCCAGACAGGTATGCTGCATGAAAGCCGCCCTGATTCAGGACATCAAATGGCCAACTTCACTGAAGGGAACTGCTGCAGAGAGAATAATAATTGAATCACTGAATCAACATATGTTGCACAGTGGGGAGAATTCGAGAATTGCAGTGGGTTCAAAATGGGTTCAAAATGGGTTCAAATGTATGCAAGCCTTGATGTGGCAGATGAGAGAGACCGTTCTGATGGCTCTGTTACAGTTTAAACACCTGACTAAACTGACTGAACATGACTAGACCATATTGTAGAAAGCATGTCTAGCTTGTATAATTACAAGTCAATAGTCCCGAAAAGTTCATTTTCAAAGCCTCCAAATCCAAACTACTCCGGAAGTCTGTCCAAGTCTGAATCTAGTAGCAACTTCCCAGCTTTCCCATCCACATCTCATTCCCCATCCTTTCCAGGTTCTTCTCCCATGGTGTAGTATCACACCCTACTGCCACCAAGCAACACGTGGTTTTTCCACATTTAGAGTCATGAAAAATAGCCCTGGCCCTATCCCACCTCATAAAACACTAGTTGCACTAGTTGATCCTAGTTGGTTGATACCACAAAAATGGCTTATCATTGAGTTATCATTGAGTTAAGTAGTAAAAGTATGTATAAGTCCCTGGCCAACATCACCAGCAATCAACCAGATTTTCATGGATTTTCATGGATTGTTCATGGCTCACATGGCCTGATGTTCTTCGTGCGTGTGCTCCCCTGCCACTTTGATCCTCCCTTCTTCCGTGGCAAGCAGAAGCGCCCGAATGTCATCCCATTCCTTGGCAAAGAAATGTGGATGTCTCGAACTTGAGGATTCACCCAAGAAAATGCTGTTAGATAATGTATATATTATATATTATATATATATATTTAAACAAAGAATATCAAAAAACCCTCAAAAAATGATCTAGCAGCTAGCACCAACAAAATTCTATATGATTCTATGACGCTTTCTGGTAGGAAACTCGCGCATTTTTTTATGGCCTGCGATGCCCCAATCCTTTTAGTATCACGGGAAAAGGACAGCAGACCACTTGCCATGCCAGGGATCTGCATCTTTGCTGCTGACCCTTGGATCAATCCAACGACGCTGAAGATCTGATGCTGTTTCTTGTGGTGGTTTCGCTATCATCTGCAAGGCATGTTGCTTCCTGAAGAGAACAATTTGGTCCCAAATGTGTCTGAAAACCATTGAAAACCCCATATATATATAATTATATTATATATATGTGTGTGTGTGCTTGAAAGCAGCAACTTCAGCTCCTCACTGGAAGCCTTGATCGCGCCCAAGTGACGAATAGGAGCCGCAGGCCCAAGGTACGCGTCCCCAGCGCGTGAAGTGCGAGGCCCGGATCTCGTGCTTGGCCAAGGTCAACAGACCGCAAGCTGCCTGGTGGGCCATGGGCCACCCATCGCCAAAGTCAAGGGATGTCAAGGGTTTAAGGGAACATCTACAAACATCAGGGGACCATTCTCAAACCATCCAGTCGCGGAAGCAACCATTTCAGGTCTATAGTTGGTGCAAACCAATCACCTGAAGATTTTTGAGGCCCAGAAGGTTGTGTATTCTGACAACGTGTTTCAGAGGCTGACAGTACCAGGCTTCTGGGCACCCACACTGGTCCGAATGGGTAATGTGTGAGGTTCATTGATCAACTTGAATCTACGATCACTTCTTTGGTGATTGGTTGACCACGTATGTCTCTGGACAGATCCCAGTGGCATTCAATCTCTACGTATCTATACAGAGCATGCTCTCTGACCGTTGCCAAACGCCTTTGGCAACTTATTGCTCAAAAAGAGGGCATGCGTACCCGTTGAAAGCCTCAGAGAAGTTGAGGTCCTTCTACAGGTCCCAGCCATAACAAACTCAATGTTGCGTCCCCTGCCTCCAGTGCCTCTTCATCTGTCAGCTTCTCTGCTTCTGCTGAAAGCGTCGCCAAAGACCTAGCGACAAGGGCATTTCGTTGACGCTTCTCAGGTTCATCAAACGAAAGATTTGTCTTTTGGAGGTTTCCCAACATGGGGGTACCCAAAATCATCTAAAATTAGACCATTTTAGTACTAAAACCCATGGTGACTTTGGGATCTACATGGATCCACCATTTTCAGATTCCTCCGCAGGTCGTCCCCTTGCAGCCAAGGGACAGCAACGGCTTTCCGGTGAGCGGCCAGTAGTTGAAAAGTTGCCAGAAATGATGGGACACCTTACGGTTGGCCGTTGGGAGTACCCAATCTTCCAATCTTAATCCACCCCACAGGATCCACAGATTTACTGGTGAAGCTCATGGGTTTTTAATGGTTTTTCTGGTCCTCTGCCCGTTGAAGACAAAGCACTAGATCTGTAAAGACAGGAAATCGCGCTGCGGCCTGGAGCTGATCTTGGAGACGAGTTTCAACCAATTTGTCACTGGAGTTTTTTACAGGATGAAAAACAGGTGATAAGTGCAGGATTAGGAGATGGGAATTTATACATATATACATGATTTGATGATTGATTTGGAAAGATTTAGGCTCCCAACCATCCAAACCATCCTAAATCATTTCTTAAATTTGATCATGGAGATTTGGAAATATTTGAAACTTTCATAACCTAAACCATCCTAAATCAAGGAGATTGATATGATTTGATGTTCTATTTCAGCATGAAGACCAGGGATTTCCAGGTTCTGGATCCCGACCACCCTCAAAAAATCAGTGGGGCACGGATTCGGAGACATTCAGCAAGAGCTTGTTGTAGTGGCCTCAATCACAATGGTGCTATTCTAGGGGCCCCCGAATAGATGGCACAAACGGTACAAGCACTAAGATGGCATCAATGAAATTTCAACCTCATATGTTGGTTCAGTGTGTGCCATCTATTCGGTCACGACAAAATGCAAAAAAAATATTTGTAGCCGCTACTGTATTTGCAAAAGCCATCTTAAGGGCGCTAAAACAAAATAATATATATATATACATATATATATACATACATATATATATATAAATGAGGGAAATATCCAGTAATATATTAATATATTAATATTTATATAATATAATATAATGTAATAAAATAACATATTTTTTGAAACAAAATATAATATATAATATAATATAATATAATATATAATATATAATATAATGTAATATAATATATAATATATAATATAATATATAATAAAATATAATATATAATAAAATATAATATATAATATATAATATATAATATAATATATATAATATAATATATAATAAAATATAATATATAATAAAATATAATATATAATATATAATATATAATATATAATATATAATATAATATATATATATAATATAATATAATATAATATAATGTAATGTAATATAATATAATATAATATATTATATATAATATATATAATTAATATAATTAATATATTTTATATAATTTATATAATTAATATAATTAATATAATTAATATAATTAATATAATATAATATAATATAACGTAATATACTATACTATATTATATTATATTATATATGATTTATAATATAATATAATATATTTAGTTTATAATATAATATATATATAATATATAATTAATATAATATATAATTAATATACTGTAATATAATATAATATGATATAATATAATATAATATAATATAATATTATAATATAATAATATAATGATATAGAATATTATATATATATATATTATAAAACGATATGATATAATATAATAAAATATAATATAATAATATAATAATATAATATAATAATATATAATATAAAAAAACATAAAAATATATAATATAAAAATATATAATATAATATGATAAAATATAATATAACTTAATAATATAATATCATATAATATAATATAATATGATATAATAGGATATAATAAAATATGTAATATAAGATAACATAATATGCTATAATAATATAATATATAATATAATATAGCATATTGTAATGTAATAAAATATATTATATGACATGATAGAAAATTATAATATGATATAGTAAAGAATAATATAACATAATATAATATGATATGATATAATATAACATAATGTAATGTAATAAAATATATATATATATAATATAATATAACATAACGTAATGTAATATTTTTTAATACTATACTATACTATACTATACTATAATAAAATATGATATAATATAATATGATATAGTATAATACAATACAATATAATATAGTACGTATTTTAATATAATATACAGTAACTACAAAGATGACCAAACTTCCGTCTCGGTCAGGAAAACGAGAAGACCCTGATTCTGAAACCCAATAACATCCATGGTTGGGGGCATTCTCCAGTCCTGCTCAATCAAATCTCGACATGCCAAGTCTCACATTTCCAGCCGCTGAAGTGGCTTTTCAGGCAACTGCAAAAAGCTTGGACGAGACTGCAACACTCCTTCCGCCGCTTTCGTTCGAAGTTGCAACGGGGAAGGCCACAACTGGCTCAACCCCCCCGGAAAATGTTCTCATTGGGCAAAATGGTGCTAGTGACGGAAATGGAAATCGTTTGAAACCGATTTCAAACCAGCCACCCAATAATGTTGGGTACAGATTCCTTTGGTATGGTGCAGATCGTCGCAATCGCGGATCAATGAAACATGCGATGAAGTGACGCAAGGAAGAAGGGCTGAGAACTTGCATGACTTTTCAAACTGACTAATAAATTCCAAGAAGAAATGTATATATTCCCCAAATTCCCCGCGTATCAAATTGCCTTTGAAACGGGATGTCCCTTGACAACTCATGGGTGTAATGTTCCCAATGGAATATGTTCTGAAAGAAACGCCAAATTGGGGCCACATTTGAACCATATTCAGCCACCAGTGATGTTGGAACCCCTCAGACATCTGGGGGACAGGGACGGTGTCCATTCCACGTAGCATCGCTCCTAAGGACACGGTGACCACCGCCCATTGGGCTCTGAAGCATCGCTGGTGGCAGTGGATTCGGACCTCATCGCGAACTTCTTCCACGGCACAGACCTCTTGGCCCAGGACGACCTGAGCGCGTGACTCAAGTGCTTCGGTTATGTATTGTATAGTGGTAGAATAGTGTAGATTGAAATATTTCGGGAATAATGGGATAACATGGAACTTGGAATGGATTTGATCAACGAAAATGGACAATCAACCAGCACAAACTGGGATTCAATCCCCAAAAAATGAGTGGTCAAAATCTGCATGGTTACCCAAAAATGGATGGTTGATAGTTGATGATGGTTCCTCCTTATGGGCCATCGGTGGTCCCCAGGGCCTCAAGCTTCATTCAGAATCACAAACAACGGACCGGTTCCATCACTCACACCTGTCGCTGCAACGAAACTTCAGTAAGCAAGCTTGGAATATCTTGAAAGGAAATCAACAACTTCAACAACTAGTGATTTCACAAAGAAAATATGTGGACGTCCATCACAGTCCAACATCCAATGGGTCTGCGCAGCACCCTGCACCTTCAAGCCAAGTCTTTGGGCTTCATTCGCCAAGCGCTCAACCAAGATCCGCATGCCGCCTATCTAAATCTCCAGTTCGATTGGAGAATGTGTTTGTGTAATTTTCTGTATATGCAAAAATGATGTGGAGCTGTATACAAGTGTG